CATAGGGATCAAGATTCGGCAGACGTCCAAATCTGAAATTAACCGACGTACAAATTTGGGGCTGTGCAGTCCAAATGAAACTAGGCCGGTTCCCGAGGATAATGCTCACGAAGGGTCATCAACAAGTAATCTCCAGAATCAAGTGATCTTGGTGCTTTCGCTGCGAAATGGGTGGCATATGGTGTATAGGTGAATCTACCCCAACCCAGTTACATTTTGAAGAGTTATCGCCAAGCTATTTCTGGGCCATCCGGAAGTGGTCTGTATGCAGACCAGAACTTTGCACGTATGCGCGATAGCGGCGCCTCTTTCCACTGCCCTACTTCTATCGACTTCTTTGAGCAACCAGATTTTATCGTTATATAATCACTAACTCACTTGGCAGCAAATTCGCAGTGTTTGATGAGGAGCTGCTCGGCGCTGATCGGCTGATTCAAAAGCATCTCTGACAGTCGTTTGGCATTTCGAGAATAGCTGAAATCTCTTCATTCCACAAAGACAACGTCGTGTTGCAAGGATTTCTGCGGCCAACAAAGTCATACCTGGCATCGTTAAAGATCTTTTTCAGAGAATCTCGGATGATCTGTGGATCTTCCAAGGCAAACTTTGTTAGAACGATACCTCCACCATGTTTAGCCAGCATGTGGGCGTTCCTGGTCTGATCAGCAAAGACGGGCATCTCAAAGATACGTAAAGTAGCAGAAGGTTCAGAGTAATTGGAAGCTATTGGCAATGACAACTTACAAGGATGGCTGGTTTACCCAAATGAGCCAGCTCGGTAGTGCTGCCTAGTCCACCATGAGTGATGAAAACTGTTAGACGAGGATCAGCTAGAATTTTCTTTTTCATCATTTGACATTCACCCTTAGTCTTTATTTAGTTAGCTGCCAATCCCCTTCCTGTTATTTCTGTCATTTACGTAAATACAGTACCGAACGTTATAACGAAGTTAGTGCGGGCTGAACTGTCGGAGGGGAGAGGGGGGGAGGGGATGAATTCAGTAGCTTCAGAATTCCGCCTGAAAGGCCATCCATGTTGAAAATCCCGACCAGACACATTGGAATGGGCCAGTAGAACAGGGTGATGGGCAAAGACAATGAAGACAACTACCAAAAGTTCGATATAGAAAGAGGCAAGATGAAGAAAGTCTCTAAAGTTTATGTGGCACCTACGTAGCGTGCTTTCCCTCTCCACTCTCGCTCCTATCTTGTTTCCCATTCCCTTGGCTTTACTCTTTCTTGCATTTTTCCATTTTCTTGCATAAATTTTTCTTATCCATCAATGCTTACCAAGAAGAGCGTTTTGAGGTGCCCATGTGGTGAGGTGGACATTCTTGAGATGAGCTCCCAATTTTGAACCTTCCTCTTCGTATTTCCATATGAACGTCGTCTCAGGCATGCTTTCGAAGACATCCAGAAGATTTTTCCTGAAAAATTCCCATGCTTCCACATTCCCGACCTCTTAATTGACTACACTTTAACCCTTCACTACTTCGGATGATCTTCTGAAAACATACTCGTACTATAGGGCTCACTTATATTCATCTGGCATGTAAATGGACTTGGCCACTGAACCGAACGATACGAATACGGTAGTGTTTCTTTCGTTCAAAATGCCATCCCATTTCTGTAATAGCCATCATATTGTGAAAATTGAGGGACACGCAGAAACTTCTCAAACCTTGGAAAGGACGTTCTTTTTGGGATCGATGTGGACAGCAATTCCACCAAGTGAAACAGTTTTGTGGAGCATAGGACGGGGATAGTCAAGGTAGGGATTCGAATTTGTCAGAACATAAGAAGCATCGGCAATAATCTCCTGAAAAACTGTTTTTTCCGATCATCCGGATGCACAGCTGAGTCATTACTATCTATAAGTGTTACCAAAGCCAAGATAGAATCACTCAAGCCAGCACCCACGGGGGCACATTTCTCAAACGGGATTGTTCAACGCCAAAAAGTTTATCCTTTATAGACCACGTTACAACTGAGCAGCGACCCTGTAGGGATGACTAGTGAATAGAAATAAGAATTTTCCAGCTCACGTCATAGTCTTTAAATTGTGGTCCATACTTGGCCCGAAAAACTTTGATTTCCTCTACGAATGTGTTGCCAAAAAACTTCTGCCCCAACACCATGTCGGCAACGTTCATTAGTCTATCGATGAAGTTCATACGGTCTCCTTTAGTGGCCATACCTCCTGAACTTTTTTTGAAATAAATTTAAATTAACTTTATCAATGGAGAATTCTCCTGTTACAAAAGAACGTACCAGGGACGTAGCTTGGAACTATTGGCTCTCCAATGCTTTTTGATACGATATCCATATGTACACCCGAAAAAGTTGCAATTGAAGATGGAATTCCAAGAACTTCGAATATTCCTGAAAATCACAAAGCTTGACTCCGATGGGTCTGTCACTCTT